ATTTACATGTGATTCATATTCATGCATGTGATTCATATTCATGTGATTCATTTACATATGATTCATTTTCATGTGATTCATATTCATGCATGTGATTCATTTACATGTAATTCATTTTCATGTGATTCATATTCATGTGATTCATTTTCATGTGATTCATATTCATGCATGTGATTCATTTACATGTAATTAATTTTCATGATTCATTTACATATGATTCATTTTCATCTGATTCATATTCATTCATGTGATTCATTTACATGTAATTAATTTTCATGTGATTCATATACATATGATACATTTTCATACATTTACATTATGATACATTCATATTCATGTGATTCATTTACATAATAATATTTTATAACATAATCTACTTTTAGGACTTAGTGTGAAAATCTGATGTTATAGGTCCTATTCATGCAGAAATGTAGAACATTCTAAAGGGTTCACAAACTTTCAAACACCACTGTGTATGTATGTGTACACACACACACAATAGATTTAAATCATTTCAGTAATTTATTTGTACAGTGTTGTATTATTTTTCATATTTTAAAATGTTGTGTTGTATAATTTTAGGATTCCTCAGTGTTTGTTCTTCGTTACATTTATTCTGTATGATCTCTTCTCTTCTTGACAATTATATTATAAAGTATCTTTATATTTTCACCCATCGTGGTTCATTTGATAAATTATGAAATTAGTCTGGGGAAAAAAAAAGAACAGTGTGGGCATCAGATTGCATAATGATTGGCAGTGGCATCTCCATGGTGACAGGAGCATTAGCCCCGCCTACCTCAAACTGGCCAAAAGTAAATAATGAATAGTTTTACATTCAGTAATATGTTCATAAAAGTAGCTGATATTTAGGCTTTAAACCAACAACATCTGATAGTTGTGTGTGTGTGTGTGCGTGTGTGTGTGTGTGTGTGTGTGTGTGTGTGTGTGTGTGTGTGTGTGTGTGTGTGTGTGTGTGTGTAGACAATGTCCGGAGGGTTACACGTGTATGAAGGCAGGCCGTAACCCTAACTACGGGTACACCAGCTTTGACTCGTTCGGCTGGGCGTTCCTCGCTCTCTTCAGACTCATGACACAGGACTTCTGGGAGAATCTGTACCAGCTGGTATGTTCTCATGTCTCTCCTGGTCTCCTTCACTTCTGCACTCCTGCATGTGGAGACTTCAGGGTTCCTCAGCAAAAAAAATAAATAAATAAAAACGTTTTAGGGTCATATTCTGAATGGCGACGTCTACGTGAGGTGATTAAATGTCACCTGGATGATTAAAATCACCTGCATGTAGCTCGCACCTCTGAGCTGACCTGCTTTTTCCTGAACAGAAGCGTCTGAGACTGAGTTTTACTCTAACCAGCGCATCTAACCAAAAACACTCGCCTATAAACCTGAAGAAATCATGGATAGAAAGTGCAGCACACTTTTTTTTTCTTCTAAATTCTCCATTAAAAACTTTCCACAGTGTGAAGGAATCTGACCAAGGGATGATGGATTTGTCTGGTGATGATGGAAGTGTTGTTAAAGACTTTAACTTTGTCTCGTTTCTACTGATTTCCTGCTGTAGACCCTTCGAGCTGCAGGAAAAACCTACATGATCTTCTTCGTGCTGGTGATCTTTGTGGGTTCCTTCTACCTGGTGAATCTGATCCTGGCTGTGGTGGCCATGGCCTATGAGGAGCAGAACCAGGCCACCATCGAAGAGGCCCAGCAGAAAGAGGAGGAGTTTAAAGCCATGTTGGAGCAGCTCAAAAAACAGCAGGAGGAGGCTCAGGTGAGCACGGACTCGAGGGTCGAGGGCGGAGCTCCATATGAGCTCATTTTGTGGCTCCATGCCTTTTACCCCAAACATGCGTGATACGTGAATGATTAAAGATGATGGGACGTGGCACTCAGAATCTTTTATCCCAGAACCTGTGTGCTAGACTAGATAGCTTACTTCGCTAATGTTGGTGATGCACTGATGATGGTTGCTGTGGTAACGATTCAATAGATTCTGACATTTTATAAATCAGGGATTAAATGATCCGAATTAAGACTCAGAGACTGAAATCTATCAGAGACACCTGATACTGACGATAACTTATTATTTTAAAATGATATTAGGTTATTAGGGATGAAAGAAGGACACTTTATTAGGAACACTTCTACACCTACTCATTCATGCAGTTATCTCATCAGCCAATCATGTGGCAGCAGGGCGATATATAAACTTGTGCAGATACGGACCAGCAGGTTACGGAAATGTTCACATCAACCATCAGAATGGGGGGAAAATGTGATCTTGGATTTGGCACGATGAGCTGGTGTCAGTATTTCTATAACTGCTGGTCTCTAGAGTTACTCAGAATGGTGCGATGAAGAAAAAACATCCAGTGAGCGACAGTTCTACGGACAGAAACGCCTTGCTGATGAGAGAGGGTCAATGGAGAACGGCCAGACTGACAGAAAGACTACAGTAACTCAGATAAACTCTCTGTACACTTGTGCTGAGCAGAAAAGCATCTCCGAATGCACAGCTTGAGGTGGATGGGCTACAACAGCAGAAGACCACTTCGGGCTCCACAACGAACAGGACGTTGAGGCAGCAGTGGACACAGGCTCACTAAAACTGAACAGTTGAAGACTGGAGAAACGTCGCCCGGTCAGATGAACCTCGATTTCTAGTGAGGAACACAGATGGTAGGGTCAGAATGTGGCACCAACAGCATGAATCCATGGACCCAACCTGCCTTGTGTCAACAGTCCAGGCTGGTGGAGGTGGTGTAATGGTGTGGGGAATGTTTTCTTGGCACACATTGGGCCTGTTAATACCAATCAGTCATCACTTGAAGGCCACAGTCTATATGAGTATTGTTGCTGAACATGTGCATCCCTCCATGGCCACAATTTTCCATCTTCTAATGGCTACTTCCAGCACGATAATGCACCATGTCACAAAGCAAACGTCCTCTCAAACCGCTTTCATGAACTTGACTGTGGGTTCAGTGTTCTTCAGCAGCCTTCCCAGTCACCGGATCTGAATCCAGTAGATCACCTTTGGGACGTGGTAGGACGGTAGATTCGCAGCATGAAAGTGCACCTGATCAATCTGCAGGAACTGCGTGATGCGGTCATGTCAACATGGAGCAGAATCTCTAAGGAATGTCTCCACCATCTTGTGGATTCCATGGCAGGGGAATTGAGGCTGTTTTGAGAGCAAAGGGACTGGGACTCCCCAGTATTAGTCTAGTGTTCCGAATTACTCCATGTGTACATGTATATTTTATATACATATATAATGTAATATTCTTGTGTGTGTATATTCTTGTATATTTGTAAATCTTCTTTTAATGTTATTCTTGTCGTGGATCTCAGGCCAACGCCATGGCCACGTCTGCAGGGACGGTATCTGAGGATGCTGTGGAGGACGATGGAGGCGGACATCTGTCCCGCAGCTCCTCTGAGGTGTCCAAGCTGAGCTCCAAAAGTGCCAAGGAGCGACGGAACAGGAAGAAAAAGTGGAGGAAAGAGCAGGAGAAGGAGAAGGGAGACAGTGAGAAAGTGGTCAAATCTGAGTCGGACGACGGCAGCAAGAGGAGTCGCTTCCGTTTCCCCGACAACCGTCTGGGCAGAAAGACCTCCATCATGAACCAGGTAAGAAGCAGGAGTCGTCACTGGATCTACCGTTTGAATAACGAACAACAATTATAGACCTATTGACGTCGAGAATTTTGTGCTCTAGCCGTAAACACTTAATTACTTGTATGGTGTAAATCCTTGGTGCGCAGGGGGGTTGGAATAAAACTCGCCGTCCCCTCGTGCCTGCTGATTTAGAAGATCTACTTGACAGATTGGACACAGTGCTCTAGAGAATTCCCACCTTCTCTTCTCTTATATGTGCAGGTATAATTTACACTGGGGACGTGTCCCTAAAACGGTTTACGGTTGTTGTCCCCGTGCGTATAAACGAATCCGCACGTGTAGTGAAACACTGCTGTCGCCTTATTGGGATGCTGTTAATTTCTCAAGTCATAAATGATCTGCTGCTTTTCTTCCTTCCTCTGCTTCGTTTGTTCAGCCGTGTCGTGGTGTTCAGGCTGTAGATCTCGCTGTGGAGCTGTTAATAAATAATAATATCTGCAGTCGTTAGTTGATTGTAGTAAAATCGGGTTCCTCCCGGCGCGGCGTTGTTTTTCTGCCTCCTGTGCTGTGTGCTTTAGTGCGTGTTTTCGCTGAGTCATCGTCCATTTTACCCTTGTGATTACACAAAGTGCATCAGGCTTCGTCCCAGCGATCAGACCACGTGTTTGTCTGCTCATCTATCTGAAATAAACCAGAAGTGTTTGTTTAAATGTTTATATAAACTGGTCTAGTTTTTATTTTCTGCGTTTTTGCGTCATTCAGGTTCAAAAAAAGAGGAATAATCGCGCACTAGACACCCGTAGGTACTGTGTATTCTTTTTCTTCTCTTTTTATTACACATCTCTCGGTCACGTGTGTGTGTGTGTGTGTTCGTTTAAATCTACATTTAATTCCGTTTCTTTCCAGTGATGACCGACTCTAGTTTCTCTAGTGACTGAGGTTTAGTTTCGGTTCCTGTGCGTTACCTGCTTTGAGAGCAGCTCTGGACGCTGCATCACCTGTGCTGAAAGCCGTGTGTACGGGCTTCGGTTGGAGGAAATGTGGCGCGGTCAGGGGGACGCCATGCATTCACTGTCTGAATTATTCATCCCGGTTCTATAAATCTTTCATGTCCGGCTGAAAGCAGTTATATGGCCTGCACTTTTGGCAGAATGTTGAGCTCCTGTACATCTGTAGTAGGTTTGAAGTCCCAGGCTGAATCTCCAGCTTTGGCCAGGTGACTACAGGCAATTACAGGTGGATGAAAGTGATTATAGGGAACTATAGAGCGTTCTCGATTATTACAGGTAATTACATATGGTTACAGGTGATTGAAAGGTGATTACAAGTGATTGCCGGAGATTACAGATAATTGCAGGTGACAGGAAGTGGTAGCTCAGTGGTTAAAACGTTGGACTTCTGATGGGAAGGTTGTGAGTTCAAGCCTCGGCACCTCTGAGCTGCCACTGTTGGGGCCCTTGAGCAAGGCCCTTAACCCTCCACTGCTCAGTTGTATAACTGAGATAAATGTAAGTTGCTCTGGATAAGGGCGTCGACCAAATACTGTAACGTAATTCTTAAAGAAGATTACAGGACATTACAAGTGATCACAGGAGTTTACGGGTGATTACAGATGATTACAGGAGATTGTAGATGATTACAGGAGATTGTAGATGATTACAGGAGATTGTAGATGATTACAGGAGATTGTAGATGATTGCAGGAGATTGTAGATGATTGCAGGAGATTGTAGATGATTACAGGAGATTGTAGATGATTACAGGAGATTGTAGATGATTACAGGAGATTGTAGATGATTAAAGGAGATTGTAGATGATTGCAGGAGATTGTAGATGATTGCAGGAGATTGTAGATGATTACAGGAGATTGTAGATGATTACAGGAGATTGTAGATGATTGCAGGAGATTGTAGATGATTGCAGGAGATTGTAGATGATTGCAGGAGATTGTAGATGATTGCAGGAGATTGTAGATGATTGCAGGAGATTGTAGATGATTACAGGAGATTGTAGATGATTACAAGTGATTACAGGATTTTACTGCAGTTTACAGGTGATTACAGGATATTTTAGATGATTGCAGGAGATTGTAGATGATTGCAGGAGATTGTACATGATTACAGGAGATTGTAGGAGATTGTAGATGATTGCAGGAGATTGTAGATGGTTACAGGAGATTGTAGATGATTGCAGGAGATTGTAGGAGATTGTAGATGATTACAGGAGATTGTAGATGGTTACAGGAGATTGTAGATGATTGCAGGAGATTGTAGATGGTTACAGGAGATTGTAGATGATTGCAGGAGATTGTAGGAGATTGTAGATGATTACAGGAGATTGTAGATGGTTACAGGAGATTGTAGATGATTGCAGGAGATTGTAGGAGATTGTAGATGATTACAGGAGATTGTAGATGGTTACAGGAGATTGTAGATGATTGCAGGAGATTGTAGATGATTGCAGGAGATTGTAGATGATTGCAGGAGATTGTAGACGATTACAGGAGATTGTAGATGATTACAAGTGATTACAGGATTTTACTGCAGTTTACAGGTGATTACAGGATATTTTAGATGATTGCAGGATATTTTAGATGATTGCAGGAGATTGTAGATGATTGCAGGAGATTGTACATGATTACAGGAGATTGTAGGAGATTGTAGATGATTGCAGGAGATTGTAGATGGTTACAGGAGATTGTAGATGATTGCAGGAGATTGTAGGAGATTGTAGATGATTACAGGAGATTGTAGATGGTTACAGGAGATTGTAGATGATTGCAGGAGATTGTAGATGGTTACAGGAGATTGTAGATGATTGCAGGAGATTGTAGGAGATTGTAGATGATTACAGGAGATTGTAGATGGTTACAGGAGATTGTAGATGATTGCAGGAGATTGTAGGAGATTGTAGATGATTACAGGAGATTGTAGATGATTGCAGGAGATTGTAGATGATTGCAGGAGATTGTAGATGATTGCAGGAGATTGTAGATGATTGCAGGAGATTGTAGATGATTACAGGAGATTGTAGATGATTACAAGTGATTACAGGATTTTACTGCAGTTTACAGGTGATTACAGGATATTTTAGATGATTGCAGGAGATTGTAGGAGATTGTAGATGATTGCAGGAGATTGTACATGATTACAGGAGATTGTAGGAGATTGTAGATGATTACAGGAGATTGTAGATGGTTACAGGAGATTGTAGATGATTGCAGGAGATTGTAGATGGTTACAGGAGATTGTAGGTGATTGCAGGAGATTGTAGGAGATTGTAGATGATTACAGGAGATTGTAGATGGTTACAGGAGATTGTAGATGATTGCAGGAGATTGTAGGAGATTGTAGATGATTACAGGAGATTGTAGATGGTTACAGGAGATTGTAGATGATTGCAGGAGATTGTAGATGGTTACAGGAGATTGTAGATGATTGCAGGAGATTGTAGATGGTTACAGGAGATTGTAGATGATTGCAGGAGATTGTAGGAGATTGTAGATGATTACAGGAGATTGTAGATGGTTACAGGAGATTGTAGATGATTGCAGGAGAGTTGTAGGAGATTGATACAGGAGATTGTAGTCGTTCAGGAGATTGTAGATGATTGCAGGAGATTGTAGGAGATTGTAGATGATTACAGGAGATTGTAGATGGTTACAGGAGATTGTAGATGATTGCAGGAGATTGTAGGAGATTGTAGATGATTGCAGGAGATTGTAGGAGATTGTAGATGATTACAGGAGATTGTAGATGGTTACAGGAGATTGTAGATGGTTACAGGAGATTGTAGGAGATTGTAGATGATTGCAGGAGGTTGTAGGAGATTGTAGATGATTACAGGAGATTGTAGATGATTACAGGAGATTGTAGATGATTGCAGGAGATTGTAGAGGTGTAGATGATTGCGGGGTTGTAGGGATTGTGGTACGGAGATTGTAGATGATTACAGGAGATTGTGTGTAGATGATTAAAGGAGATTGTAGATGATTGCAGGAGATTGTAGTGGTTGCAGGAGATTGTAGATGATTACAGGAGATTGTAGATGATTACAGGAGATTGTAGGTGATTACAGGAGATTGTAGATGATTACAGGAGATTGTAGATGATTAAAGGAGATTGTAGATGATTGCAGGAGATTGTAGATGATTGCAGGAGATTGTAGATGATTGCAGGAGATTGTAGATGATTGCAGGAGATGACAGGGGTGTAGGAGATTGTAGATGATTGCAGGAGATTGTAGATGATTACAGGAGATTGTAGATGATTACAGGAGATTGTAGATGATTACAGGAGATTGTAGATGATTACAGGAGATTGTAGATGATTGCAGGAGATTGTAGATGATTGCAGGAGATTGTAGATGATTGCAGGAGATGACAGGAGATTTCAGGAGATTATCTTATTTAAAGAGTTCTATATGGAACGTTTAAGGGTTCTAAAATGTATAAATGTAAAGCAGCCAAGTTTACTTCAGTGTTCTTTTGATGTAGCAGGAATGTTATTTCCTCAGCGGTGGAAGGTTGTTATGGCAGTGTTCTCTATTCACTTGGACGTGCACTCTTACAGAGAAGGTTCCTCCACAAGGTTTCTTGTATTGTTAGTCCTCTGAGAAGTTCTGAACCCTTTGTGTTGGTAAGGGGCTGGAACTCGGGCTCGGGCTGGTGTGTTCCGGGTTGGCTTCTGTTTGAGGAGAAGAGCAGGGAGGCGGATGAGAAATTTCACTCAGATCTTTCAGGCGTGGCCTTTTCCCCATTCCTCAGGTATTTCGTACCTCCGTTTAAACGGACCACGTCGTTAAATGCTGGGTAATGTTTATTATTTTGATCACTTTGATTTAAAAGATAAGTTATGACGTATATTAATTAGTAATGATGGATTGTGGGTCACACCCACACGCACAGTACGTAATGACAGTGTGGGTAATGGAATGTGATGAAGAAGAATGTCGGGGAAAACGTCTGTACATTTCTTTTCAACGTTTCACTTCACATTCCACTACGTTCTCTTCTCGTTACTTTGCCTCACTTTATTTCAAAAAAGCATCCTGTTCATTCTCCTGCTCACGGTCACGGTCTTCAGCTGAGCTGAATGTGGAGGAACCCATGCCCCACCCCTCTTCATCTCCCTCCACTGGCTTCCCGTAGCCTGCCCGTATCAAATTCAAGGCCTTAATGCTCACGTATTCTGCACTTACGCCTCGACTCTGCGCACTCTACTTCTCCACAACTCGATTATAATCCTGTACTGTAGCACGGCTCGTATTCTTCTCCGCTTGATATACCGCCTTGTTTGTATTTCCTCATTTGCAAGTCGCTCTGGATGAAAAACTCGTCCGCTAAATGAATAAATGTAAATAAATGTATGTTGATGGCGTTAGCGTTCTGGCGTCGTGTGATCTGAGCTTGTAGCTGAAGTGGATTCTCTCCGATACGTGCAGCAATGCAGATCTGAAGCACTTTAACAGATCAATGGCACTCCTCTCTGTGTGGGAAGTGGAACAGTCTGAGCTGAAAGGACTCCTGGGCCTGTGGCTCTGCAGTGGTCAAGCAGCCCATTAGGGAGAAGCCACTCAGACCCACCGCAGTGAAAATGCCTGCGCTAGCAGCTAGCGTTCTGCACGATCAGTGAATTTCAGCACGCAGTTAAACACTGCAGCATCACTCATTTTCATCTCACAGCTCCGTGTCTCATCGGCATCAACGATTTTGTTTTACTAGGGTCCGCTATGCTATGCTACGCTACGCTACGCTAGGTTATACCCAATGTATTGTAGCTAATTAGCGTACGTATGTGAATTTTACCGTGACCGTGCCGCTGGAGATCCAGCAGCGAGAGGTTCTTTAACAGATTAACGCCACGAAAAGCAAAACAAGGCGGTGAAATGGTATCAGTGCAGGACATCGATGACTTTCATACAGTTATACAGATGTTCTCGTGGATGTGAGAATATTCAAGATAAAGCAATTGTGAGTTAGCGGGAAGTTCTAAATCTCCCTTTGTTGGGAATTCACAGAACAGCATGAAGACACACAGCTTGACTGCGGTGGAAATAAACCAGGATGTAATGTTTGTTTATTGAAAGGTGATTATTTTAAAGGCGATATGCGTTTTAATCAAATGAACGGATTTATTCAGACCTGAATAACAATGATGTTCTGAAACAATTCTGTAAGGTATCGTAAATATTTCTGCATTCTTAAATCAACGTATTGAGAGCGGAAAAAAGCGTTAACGATATTTCCTTCCTCTAACTATGTCTGTCTGTCTGTCTCTCTCTAGTCTCTGTTAAGTATACCTGGCTCGCCCTTCATGTCCCGCCATAACAGTCGCAGCTCCATCTTCAGCTTTAAGGCGCGTCCGCGGGACGTCGGCTCGGAGAACGAGTTTGCGGACGACGAGCACAGCACGGTGGAAGAGAGCGAAGACCGGCGAG